ATCTTGAAGAACAATGATGTTATCAACTTCTGGTAAATAAGTGATGCCATGTGTAACAAGTACTCTCGTTTTCTTTTTAAGTAGTCCATTAGAACCCATTACGTTTTCAAATATATGTTTTCCAACATGAGAATCTACAGCACTTAAGGGATCATCCATGAAATAAACATCAGAATCATTGTATACTGCTCTTGCTAGTGCTACTCTTTGTTTCTGTCCACCGGACAAATTTATTCCTTTTTCTCCAATTTCAGTTTGATCACCCGCAGGCAATACTTTTAAGTCGGGATTTAATGCACACGCTTCAATTACACGATCGTATAAATTTTTATTTAGTGGTTTTCCAAATAAAACATTATTTTGCAATGACGCATTTTGTATCCATGCTTGTTGAGACACGTATGCAATAGAACCCTGTTATTCATAACAAACAATTATATGGTACATGTCACATACATAGTACACATTATTTATAAAAAAAGATATATACTTTTGTGTTAACTCTGCCACTTATTTTCTCCATTTCTCCAAGAAGCGCCGATATAAGAGAACTTTTACCAGATCCCACTGTACCAACAACAGCTATCAATTGACCCTGCTCTACTTGCAAATTGATATTCCTTAATGTTGGTTTCTCAATATTTTCAGGATCCCACGCGAAGGTACCATTCTCAATTAATAGGGCATATGCTATATCAGTTCACATCAATACATGTTAATAGACCTTTTTTATTTCTAAATATGTTATAATTAGTAAACTTACGTTCAGATGGGTCATGTTGAACGTTATCAGGATCCAACTCTTCTGCATTCATGAATTTGTTAATACGTTTCACAGAAACATAAGCCTGGATGTTACATATTTTATTAATTTTTAGAATACGTTACGCATACAATAATTAAATTAACAAATGTTCAGTTACCTGAATCATATTACCAATCATCATAGGTAATATAGAAAGAGGAAACCTTAAGATATTAAAAAGAGTGAGTGAAACAAAAGCAATGCTGCTATCTAAATGGTTATTTTCGTCTATAAGTACATATGTTGCAAAGGATACCAAAGATACCTAAAAATTCATGTACAAACATAAAGTGAAAATTGAATATTATTAATGTTATATAACTTAACTTGAAACGAAAACTATACTTGAAACTTACTAAAAATGGAGCAAAAGACCAAATGAAACTTGTTCCAGAATTAAGATATGCTGTTTCCTTTAACACTTTAATTTCCTTCATACGTATTTTCAATATTTGTTCTTCAAATGATGGCTCCCATGCATATAATTTCAGTACTTTTATACCATTAAGTACCTCGTTCATTAATTTAACCCTTTCATCTTTGTATTTCATTTGTCTAATTTGTAGTGTTTTTAGTCTATTTGTAATTAAGATGTTTATTGGGATCAAAATAAGCAGAACAGCTAAACCCGCAAGTACAGCTGGTCCCAATATGTCCCACAAAAAGTATAAAGCTAAGATTATTTGGAGTGGAGCAGACCAAATCATATTTATGTATGCCGTTAAATCCATGAATCTTTGTGCATCCACGGACATTAAATTTACTATTTCACCAATTGTTGATTCTTTTCTTGCGGAATTAGATATTCTCAACGCTTTCCGATAAATTGCAGCAATTAAAGCAGTTCGTACACGTAACCCGACTAAGAACATTCGATGAAAGTACTGAGATAGAATTAATGTTTGAAACATGGCCGTTAATAGAAGTAAAACTGCATAAAGATAACCCTTCCATATTGGTTCACTATTGGTTGCTTCATTAAAAAGAATGAGCAATCTAAATTAAAAAAATTTAATTTGTATAATCAAAATTTTTTAAATGTAAAAAATACATTAGAATACATTCAAATATATTTACTCACTTTAATATTTGTGGGCTAGCAAAAATGACAATGTCTTGTAAAAACTTAAGTGCGGCACCAAATAAAAATGTAGCACCAAAAGCTTTACAAAGAGGTGGTAAAATCGAAGATACTTTCTTTTTACGTCCGCCATTAAAATCTACTTGACCAGATGACTTCCTGAACGATGCCTTAGCGCTTTCTACACTGGAAACAAAAAAATCATGCTTACACTTAAATAATCTATTAAACAAATATTCGAATAAACTTACCTAAAATAAGCCCAAATTATTCTTGTTAGCAAAAGTAGATTGATATTTTATATATTACTAATTTAACAAATGATGAAGTATTTCCACTTGTATTAATTCATTCCTACTAATTTGTTCTTAATTTCTAATACCAAATATCTATAAATATCACACTCACTTGTTTGTTTTTTGTAAATTCTTATTCCAATATTTATCAAATTTAGGTACAATTTCCTTAGCTGTATCTTCTGGATTCATAGACCATAAATCAGTAACTTCTAATGGTTTCCTAAAACCTTTCCATGCCATAGAATCAAACCATGTAAAAAATATTTTTGCTGGAAAGGAAGAACTTTGTTCTGGACATGAATTCTCAACCTGGTAATGTAACAAGTAGCATAAGCTTGCAATATTTAATTTCAGATGTGTTAAAATAATATAAATGGGAAATATATTTAATTACCTTGGGATATTTTGAATATTTGGGTTCTGCATCAACCATAAAATTTAGTAAAAATAAAAGTACCACTACTGGATAATATATCATGTATGATACAAATGAATAAGTTACTTGACCCTAAAAGAATTATACATAAAACAAATTATTATGTAAAACAGTAAGCAAATAAAAGTTAGAACTTTATTAGAAATATTAATAACATACCCCATTAATGTATAACCTTAACAAACTTCTATACTGAACAATTCCACACAAGGTAAGTACAAACCAGAATAAAAATAACAATCCAGAAGTTCGCATTCCATATTTTCTGTTATACATTACTAAAACAATTGCTAGAACCTATAATAAATAATACAAGCTATATTACTATCCTCACAAATTAAATGTTTATAACCTTTAACAAAAATTATATAAGTGGTACTTACAAAGGTAATGATTTTTATAAGTGGTGTATAATAATCAACATTATAAACTTCTTCATAAGTACTTCTCTGAATAGCCTCTCCTATATCAACAACACTAAGTAAAATCAATGTTAACATAAGTACTTGTTTAGTGATAAATAACCAGGTATATGGAATATTTTTTCGTTTGCTGTTTAAAAAATAATAAACTTCTATTGCAGAGAATAGCCATAGAAATGCACATGGTACCCATACTAAAACAGTTTTCTCAAAACATTCTGGGACATCTGGATCACTTGTATTCCATGATAAATTATTGTCCTAAAATACAAAAAAAATACATTTTCATACATTCCTTATTAACTTCATTGAAATTTTTCAATTAATTTATAAAAATGCAAAAATTACGTTACTATGAAAACGTATTCTATTTATTTCATTTTTATGTATTAAATAACTAAATAATTTGAACATCTTATATTTTAGAGACAATAAAAATGATTTAATTTATACGAATCTTACCCAAAATTTGGAACCGCAAAACTGATCCATAGCATGATCCTCCATAACGATATACTTATTGGTTCATTGGTTTTTTTATTCAGTTGTATATGAACCACACTTATTCTGTTCCTTTATAGATTTTTTAAACAAGGTGAAATACTGTACACTGCAAAATAACTATTTCCTAATTAATGAATGATTGTATTTCACCATCAAACACTGGATAAAAAACGAATTGTAACCATCTTCTCACTTTCTCAAGCTAACGTAAACTGTGTCCGAACGGCGCCCGATTCACATTATAACATTTGTTCAATCAAGTGAAATTACGTCATGTTATCTTCCATTACATGGATGCAATCTTAAAATAAGAATTTAATTTTGAAAAAGAAATAGGATTTCAACTAAAAATAAGAAATTTCATAAACCAAGATATAGAGTTCTTTGAAATTTCTAGGCAATGCTTTTTACTAATAGAATAACATATATTTTTATCGTATCGTTATTCTGCATTTAATTAATTGTGCAACATTTGTTACGTTATCATTTAAAACTGTCCTTATCTCATTTTTCAAACTGTACATTTAATCTTCTGTTATCATTATATATCATATGTATAGAGATGAAAGCGTCAAGCCTATTATTATAAAAAATATATACATATTTATGTACATATATAGTACACGTTATTGCTGTTTAAGAGCATGTATTTTGTAACGGTACTATATATTACCGATATATTATACATTTATCCATTTTATGATTCGTCATGACAAAATGATAAGAGTATTGTTATCATAATTTTTTTCTAACATAACGCATTATAATTACATCCTCTAGTTAAAAACAAAAATAACAGAAATAAGATTACAAACTAAGATTAAGATTTAATTAAATAAATCCTTTTTTGCGAAATATAATTTATACAAGCATGAAAATTATATATGTATGTCATAATAAGTTTGAATTTGTTTCTTTCGAATACATAGAGTAGGTATATAATATTTAAGTACATCCATACATAATCACATTTCGCAAGATTGCGTTTGGGTACTTATATACAAACAGCAATCGTACAGAATGACACAACTAAATTTTCGTGTTGATCAAACGATAATGATGCTGTACATAACGATATAATTTCATCAACAATAGTACTTATCAGTGTGAGATAATTCATTTCACAATTGAGAGATTCTATGTATTATTATTGAATTTTTCTTAATTGAAATATTTCTAAACATTATAGTATATACATTTTATGTACTTTCTATTTTATTAAAATATTATGAGATTAGATTATAAAAATATATGCAGCTATATAATACTGATATTTGTAGTGAACTTGTATGTAAAATATTAAAATTGATTGTTTAAAATTCAGGCTAAGACCTTGAATATATTGAGAGAAATCATTTTACAAATCAATTTGACCGCTATTTTAGTTGTTAAAGGACATGTTATGTAAATATACTGATAGAGATAAAAGAAAGAGGAAAGAAGAAGAATGATGTCTTATGTAATTACATTGTATTGTATTAGCCCATTCTTCTTAGCACAGTTATTTTCTTTCACAGTGATAAGTTTCTTTATGTTCAATAAACTGATGTATACTTTAAATAATTTCAAACAATGTTTGAGTATAACTTACATTTTTGATTGTTGATAATATTTTGTTATTATATATTGATATTCACATTACACTTGTTAAAATTTTATTTAAAGTATTATATATTATCTATTTAAATTACAAAATATGAAAATATTAAATATAATATATGCAACTTAACATATCATTTATTTAATTTTAATTGTGCTAAACTTGATAAGTTTGTGTGCTACTAAATAATAGTGTTAATAATTCTGGATCAGTTAAATTTTTTCTATATTTCTGTACCATTTCTTGAATTTTTAACCGTCTACGAACATGTGGTGGATGATAACTGCAAAATATTAAATGTTATATACATCAATGTTATTCAAATATAATTATAGCATTATGTACCTGTCATTATCAAGTCGTTTTCTACGTCCCATATTCAATGCTGTTTGTCTGACAAGTGTTCCCAATACCCGTCTCGACACGACCATACCATCAATTAAAGGAGTAGCTAAATTAATTCTAGAAACTGGACCTTGTAATCTGACTCTCATTAATCCACTACTAAGTGCTTGAATGAAAATTACTTGAACATCTGATGCTTGTATTACTCTAGACTGTTCAAGGCCAGTATAGGTACAAGGGAGAAGATCACCTATACGTAAAATATGATTTCAAAATTCTTAATAATTTAACTTTAAAAATATTATTATAGTTGAAATACCAATTGGAAATTGAGCATAATCTTCTAAGCTTTCTAGCCAAACAACCATAATTTTGATATCGGTTTGTACAGGTAAAACTTGTTTGGTTGCTCTTCTTGGTTTAACTGGATCTGCACTAGAAGAATTAGAAGGATTAGATCCTGTTAAACTGGGTGGTTGCTTTTCTAAATCAAGCGACATCGCTCGTGAATTTTGTACTGTGTTTTGCCCCGTTCCACAATTTCGGGAGCTAGTACTTTCACTGATGCTTCTTTCGAACCAAACTGCAATTATTAATTATTGTGCAATTAACTTACATAATATGAAATCATATCTTTCAAATGTGTAATAATGCCCGATTAGTCAGAGGTAAGATGGCTAGCGGGATTTCACAGTGCTTAACCGGGCATCATTGCAAATATATATTCTACTTAAGTCATACCTTGATTAGTACTAATATCACTACCAAAACTTGTTTCTTCTAAAGAGTCTGAACTCAGCATATTGTTTGATTGAGTTGGTACAACAAAAGCGATTTCAGAGCTAACATCTGCCCAATAAAGTACGTGAGTATCTCCATTATAAAGTGCCCCACCATGATCAGAATGAGCTGGTTGTGGAACATTTAACTGTGGTGTCACCCTCCATGAAGTGGAAACATGACCAGTCCAGCCTGCATGTACTGATACAGAAACAGGCCATCCAAGAGAATTTAAAAATTCCAAAAAATTGGTTGACACATTCGCTTCATGTAACTGCAAACATAAAAATCCTTTATATAAATAGAAACTTATAAGAACGAAACACTCTAAAATTTAAAAAATAATTACCACATTAGATAATATTTCTGTAGAGCTTTTTTGACCAGCTTTCACATAAAAGATATATACAGTGTCACATGTTCTTGGACTAATATTATCTAAAGTTTCTAAATCTAAAGAAAATCCTGGAATGGTAGGATCCAAGGCTGTAAGACTACCATTTCTGGACTCATCATTTTCTTTGGGTTCCATGTTTAGAAAACCAAAATGACTTAAAAAAAGACGAGCTGTTTGAAATTCGTGACATATTTGAGGTGGTACACATTCGTCCGGTTTTTCATCTGGAACTTTATCATATCCATCACAATATTTCGTTTCAATATTCATTTGACGTTCCAATAACTGTGATAAAATTTGATGTTCACTTCTTATCACGTCATTATCATTCATGACTGCCTCAAGACTCGGTATAGATTCATCCCTGATAAAAACATATGACCAATCAATTTAGTTTCTTAAGCATAAATGCAAATTATTCTGATATAATACAACATACACTTTACAATGAGGAATTCGGTCCACATTATCAGGAAAGAATCTAGGTTTGTAATCCGTACGTGGTGCAGCTTCTGCTAACGGCAGTGGTCGACCTGGATTTGTATTAACACTTCTTATACTAGATCTGTGCCTTGGTAAATGTCGAAGTTGTAATGTCCATGCATGTCTACCAAATGGACCGCGTATTAATACTGTTACAGTAGGTTGTGGGTCTTGATCGTTTCCAAGAGGCTCTTCTAATAAAGCTAAAATAGTAGCATTCTCGGCAACGAAATAACGAAATCTTTCAACTGCCGCTTGACGGGGCACTCGACCACCAGTCCAACTATTGCAATGACGAAGAAGTGACACTTCATCTAATAATGATGACAATGATTGTGCTCCACATGCACTGGGAAAATAACCAACCTATAAATTTATTTAAAATAATTGTTTTAAACATTACTTCATATTTTTTTAATTACAAACATTCATAAATACTTGTTCTAGAATGACTGTAAGAAGTGCATCAGCAGCATCTCTAACACGCATAGATGCTGGTTTTAATTCTTTCTCATCTTTCATTTTAATAGGTTCACCGGGTTTGCCTACACTTTTGGTTCCTGACACACCAAGTTCAACTACCTCTAAAACTGTAGTTAAACAATCCTTGTCCTAGAAAAATAATCTTAAGAATGAGTTTATTATAAACACAATAATTGCTAAGTAAATGCAAAGGAAATAATAACTTGTAGTAATTGAGGATGAGCAGTTAACCAAGTTGTTAAGCAACTAAAGGCAGCAACAATAGAGGAATGGAGATCTTTCGAATGAGCCGGCGGTGGACGCCAACACTGATATGCAATATAATCACACAACCATTTTACGGCACGTTTACATTCTAGGGCATCTGTAATTATACAAAAATTTATAATTTCACAATTACATTTTAAATTATAAATTAATACGGAATAGTTTAACCTGTTAGTTTCCTTGCTGCATGTAGAGCGTTCAACATTTTATAAATCCATGCACTTTATATATCAAAAAAACAATTATTATAGTTTAACAAATGTTATGTTTTACCTGTTTCACGAATACGTGTTCTTGCTAATCCTGATAATATTTCAAGAGCTGCTAAAGAAATATTCAGATCTGTTTTCCATGACGATATTAATCTGTGGCAAACTAAGTATGTTGCTCTTACAAAAAGAGCATGAGCTGAATCTGTAACAATAATCCAAATTTTTCAATGATTAAAACTATATGAAATCGATTAATGTTTAAATTTGCAACTACAAACATACATTTAATTTTTTAAAACGCAAGCTTTTGCATAATCTTATTCAGAAGAAAGCTCTACTGTATAACAGAAATATAAAACTAAAAAAAACATGATACACTCCACTCCACAATATTTTTTATATGTATGATAATTAAAAAATAGAAATAATATAAAAAATACTTGTATTTACCAAATGCAACACATTCCTCTTGAAGAGTTGTAATATCAGAGGTTTCGCCGAGCGAGCGTTGATCACTGGATATACTTATTTGACTGGCTGAATCGCTGGTGACTATCAAGCGATGATGAAATGGTATAATGATGAATGTACAACAAAAAACAACTTACAATAATAACAATGAATGATCTCTTACGGAAGCACGCATAAAGCAAATACAATGATAGGTAATATTAAGCAGTATTGCATAATCGGGCTGAATTACTCAATTTTAATGTACAAACAAATTCATAAATATTTTAATAAGTTGCCAATCCAAATAATAAAATATTAATTTCAGTTATTTATAAAATGATGCAATTAATACTTTTCAATTTCAGAATAAAGGGTGAACATTTTTCAAAATATTTAAAACAGTGCATTCAATGTATACAAGTTAACACGTTCCCTGCCACTGTATTCTATTCTTATTATTCAAAAGTTGAACACGCTATATCGCGTGTGGCAGTGAAAGTATTAATGTTATTTAAATAATATATTATAACAAACCTGAGGACAATAAGTTAACAGCAGAATCATGTGCCATAGTATCAGGTTGTGTAACTTGTTCAACTTCTTCTGCTGCTGCAGAATCTTGTACACTTAATAAAAGGGCTCCTAAAATAAAAATTACAAATTATAACGGTTCTAGTATATTTAATCTTAGACTTACCTAATAACATATGAGTATTCTGAGGATCAGTTTCAACTTGTAATGCATTTATAAGCAAATTCATAAGTCTTGATTTTAGTTGTGCAAATGTTACATGATTCTTTTCCGTGATTACCGAATTTGCAAATGTTGGAAGTTCTTTAATAGTGAGATTCTGCAAATAGAAGTTGTAGAAATTACTTTATGAATTATTTGCATATATTACATAATAATTATTAAGTAATGTTAATTACTTGGAAGTGTAAAGGTAATGCTAGCATTGATATTAATAAATGTATGGAGGCTCTTCGCAAATCTGGTTTTGATACCACATTAGATTTCAGTTTTAAATCTTTTTCTGGAAGTACAGTTTCAAGTGCCGAAATCATTGCTGGTACCAGTACCAGTACGCCATTTAAATCTAAACGAAATAAATCTGCAGAATTTAAAATAATGCTTGATAATGTTTCGCCACATTCCCGAGACTGTAAACAAAATAAGTACAGATATTTTTATAGATACTACATTTGTAAAAGTTTAAAAATAACTTATTACTTCATCAACTTTAAGACCATGATTCATTGCTTGATAAAATCTAGCTAGATAGACAGGGAAAATCTCTTCGCCAGTTTTTTTAGCACAGAAAATTCTACATAATGCACCTAAAGCTTCTGCTCTTCCAGCTTCGTAGCGATCTATACAAAGAGCTGGCGGTACATCGTTAACATTTTCTTGTAACGAACTAGGCCCGTCAACAAGTACGGAAGACGGGCGTTTCGTTGCACCTGACGGTTCTGTTTATGAATGAAATAATGATTATCAAGTATCACTTAGTTACGTGCAACGTCATATGAAGTAATACTGACGAGGCAAATTTTGTGACCATCCATCAGTACCTATAAATGCAGCCTCAAATAACCATTCTCCAAAAAGATGCAATATACTATTACATTTTGGACGTCCTGGAGCTAAAGGAGGTCTAATATCTTGAACTAGAGAGGTCATAGCTACGAATATAATGATCTTATTATGTATGAAGCATATTATTTTGTTGAATAAAAAGAACTTATAGAATATTACATGTGGTACTCGAAGCTGATGATGGTCCTGAATTAGACATTAACATAGGTGGTGTACTTGAAACACGACTCGTTGTTAAACCAATTAAGGAAGCTTTCGGAATTCCTATAATAAATATTCAATTACATTAGTTTTAAAGTATAACATTACGTACAACACTGCCGTGAAAATGATAAAATGGTATATTTCTTTATAATAAGAAGAGAATAAGCTTGAAGAGATATATACAGATTCAAAAATGTAAAGTTACATAGAAAAACACCAGAAGATAAGTGCTGAATACCCTTAGTTACTGCAGAAGGTGTAACACTGAAACTTTTGGCAAGTCTGCGCTGTGTTGGAGGTGTAGGAGAAGGTTGTGTCAGATCCTTATTACTTGCTTTATCCCACCCCATACCTCCACTTCCAGTGCTAGCAGATCCAGATGTGATTGTAGATACACAACACTCTTCCCAGCAACATGCCTGTGAAACTCCTAAAACATTTGTGACTGCGTGCAACCATCACCAAAAAGCAAGTTAAAAAGTCTATATACTATTTTAAATATTTCAAAGTCGAGAAAGTGCGAAGAAAAGGGCCACTTTTTTGCTGTAAAATTACTGTACACTTTATATTTTTTAACTTTTGTGAATAAGTTTATTTATTGTACACTTACCAAGAAAAGCGTCAATCTGTCCAGCTATACCTTTTATGGCTTTCAAAAATATTTGTGGTAAGCTTTGCAAACATGGATGTTGACATGGATCTATTACATTTGGGCTAGCAATAGCATATTGTAAAAATGCTTGTGTCTGTGAAATAACAGCAGGTCTGCATAAATCAACTGGATCGCCTATAGTTCGTAAAAGTCTGTACCAAGCTTGTGCTACTGCTTCATCTGACATTGTAGGTGGTACAAGTTGAGAATCTTCTTCGCCTAAATATATCGTTATATATTATAAACTGTTAATACGAAAAACAATACATATTACGAATAAAAAAAAACTAACTTATTTTTAGTTCTGGAAACATTGGGCCATACATGATTTGCAAAAGTCTTGCTGTAAGAGCAAGGCAGACACGATTCCATTGTTCTACTAATGCTAATCTGTGTCTCCAACGCAAACAAGACTCCCTTAATGTGCGCCATAATGGTGGTGAAGGAAAATTACGTTCACACGCCACCAACCATACCTAACGATATTTTTATTTAATTAATAACTGAAAAGGATTTACTAATGAATAATTTATTTAATTATATTGTTTACATAAATATAATACCTCTAATAATACACCTAGAACTCTTTCACACAATTGCTCTCCAGCATCTTCCCTTGTTGCTGGTGGAGCTAACAGTGCATCATTAATACCAATAAGAAATAGTAACAAGCTTTCCCAAGTTTCCCTTTCTAAGGTAGCAGGGCCTCTTGCAATTTGCTGTAATGTTCTAAGCACTCTATGGCATAAAACAGCTTGTCTATTAATTGTATCTGTCCCTGTAAATAAAATTTAATATTGTATAATCACTAATTATAAACTTACATTTTATCTTAAAACATAAATCTTCTAAGTATGTATAAAAACATTTATAGTTACAAATTACCTAGATCCTGATATAAAAATGGCCAAACTATGAAAGGAAAGATAATGATAAATTGTTAGATGAAAATATATGTAACATGTAACCCTTAAAATTATATTAATACTGAATGTTTTTTAAACTGTTACTAAAGTTATTAATATTATATACAAAGGAGGGAGGAAGTCAGAATCTTACCTTCTCCTTTTCGTGGAACAAATAAATTATGAAAATGACTTATTATTTTTCTTGCATAAAAATTAGGATCATCTATAATTGGTTTGGGTACACAAATCTTTGGTGTGGAATATAATGCAGATAACCATTCACAATATACATTAACACAATCTCTGACAGTATCATGTTCAGCTAGTGGTAATGATAATCCAAAACATATCACTTCCATACACCATTGTACTTCTTTATCTGTACATAATGGACTTGGCTCAGCTGCTTGTGTAATACCAAGATTTGCAGCAAGTTGACGTACAATAGACAATGCAACTTCTTTTCCTGCTCCAGGTGAAAATTTCTCTAGCACACTTTGGCTTTCTTCTGAGCCTTGCTGAATTAAAACACTTAGAGAAGCCCATTCGGAATACATTCCTCCTTGGGAATCCTAAAATTAATATAATAAATATAAAATATAAGTCAAGATATTAAAACAAAAAAATATTGTATTGTGGTAATTTACCTTAAGATTAACTCTGTTAAACACGCCTAAATTCATAGATTACTATCCACTTTAATGTTTTACAACTGAGAATTATATTAGGCACAGAAAAATTAAAATCTTAACTATGTTCGTTTAACCTCAATTATAATAAAAAATATTTTTATGTAGTATAGGTACAAAAAAAATAATTCATTACAAAATTATGTATAAGTTTGGAAACAACCATTGTCAACTGTATACAAATACATAAGAGTTCAGAATGTCATCTGACAGTTGGGTCCACTTTTACATACACAATAAGTATACTTGACACGACTTTTTTAGTTATTTTACAATAATACTTTGCAGGTCCTACAGCATTTCCTTTTCACCATGAAAATATCCCCACCTATTAGGAATTTATTGAAAATGTACGGAGTTATAAATCATGGCATTCACTACATTATTTACTAATAAGGTATATATTGTATTTATGTATGTACCTACATACACACATATTACATATGTACTATAGATCTATGTATATAGAGAGAATAATGTTTGATAAAACTTTAAGTTTTATGTTTTTTATAATAATTTAACTTACTAAAATTATTATTATACAGAATAAATATTTTAAAGAAATAAAATTCTTTCTTAATTAAGTAAAATAGACTATAAGTGCAGAAATGTAAAAAACAGTAATATTAGTAAAGAAAAACAGAAAAAATGGTTTCATATATATGATTGTGTAGGTATCATAGGAACCGCAGGTTTTTAAAATCTGATTAAAGCTTAAAATAAAGAACACATATTTTTATTCATGCTATAAAATCAATTTTGATTGGATGATTTTCTACCGGTAAGGTAGGTAAAAGGTAAAAGATAACTCTTTAGCTCTACCTACTGGGTAGGACAGCAAGTGTTACAATCTTGTGTATTGTATTACTCGTTTTTTTGTGTATGGTATGTATCTAAATCTTGAAACGAAAAACATCGACAGATGGCTCAAGATCATGTTATGATTAATATTTCTGGTTGAATTTACGTAAATGTATAAAAAAAATACAATAATTAAAGTTAAGTGTATATACAGCATTGAGAATAATTAATACATGAACACTATTTCCGAATATGAATTGAATTTGAAGTTACAGTTTCGTATATTTGTGCATTGGGGTAAATAGCAAATGAAACATGGCGTTTGTTTCTTTCATATGTTCCGAAGATATTGCTTCTTGATTTTTTTCTTTCAAGTTTTCAATTATCGACGAGAATAACGTTTCCGATGCACTGAAGTTCCTTTCTGTTACAACACTTGATCTCAAGTGTACAAACAATCAATGGTTATTTACCATTTACTTAAGTTTCAAAAATGAAAAAATATATTGTTATTTGTGTCTTTTGAGATGTGGAACATTTTTCAAATACAAAAGAATACAACATGACGTCCCGCAGTTACACAAAATCTTACAGCCGTAAGGTCAGTAGTATGACACCTGGGAGTATTCAATTTGATAAGCTTTTTAGGGAAAATAGCAATCGACCTTCTGCTGCTAAATCAGCAGGTACTGTTGGAAAATGGGGTATAACATCATTTACATCTATCAGGAGCACCAATATCAATGGTATGTATATCTTCTTGTCTTAAAAATTAAATTCTTCATTCATTATAAATTTGTGTATTTTATTTACAGACACTTAATACGTGTTTAATATTTAGTAGTGAGGATATTTAATAAAATAAAATTTTCTATATTTTATATATTTTGTTCAAAGCCATATGAAAAATATATATATATAATATATGATTTACTAATAATAATTTATATGCCTTTATTAAGTTACAAGTAACATAATTTTATTTTTAGGAAGAAGAGATGATATCCATAATACATTTGGTGCAAAGAGAATAAAACTTGACTATGGAAATCAAAATACTCGTGTAAATTCTGGGAAAGATCCATTTTCATTTGAAACAGACCCTGACAATAAATCAGATGTTGCACCACCAGTTAATAAACCTAAGAAATTTTTTAAAAGTAGAAATGTTCCACCTACAGTAGAAGAATCTCGCCAGGATGTGGCTATATATAGACAAGTACCTGATTCACACTATGGTAAAGCACGTACCCAAAAAAATTGTCCACAGCCACCAGCAAAACAAACCTTAACAAAAGTATCAAGTATTCCACCTAAGAAAGTAGCTGATACTTTAGATGGAACTAATAATGATCCACCCAGTAGAGAAGAAGGAAAACCACCAATTGTATTAAGAATATGTAAAGGTACAGCACGACTAGTCTGTGGAAATGTGCAGAATGCTCAAGAACCTGAGCCTGAAACATACAGAATTTCTACACCACTTATTAGTCCCACTAAAGTAGATATTGAACCGAAAAATTTCAATGTAGATACATTAAAAACTGATCACAAAACGGTTCGTCCGCATGAACCTATTATTTCTACTGTTTCAATACCTTTAGAAAATTCTGAGATGCGTAGAACTACTCGTAGTCGAGCAAAAAATCTGCATTTAGAGTTAACAACCACAACAACAGCGACAACAACAACTTCTGTTATGTCTACGGCATCGGTAACACCTAGTTCACATAGTTCTGGTCTTTCTTTAACTCTTAGAAAATCTGTTACTGATTCTAATAATACACTAATATCTCATTATGATATTGTTAAGACTGATTGTAGTTCAACGTATTCTTGTAAGCCAACAATTGAACCATTAATTGGCCGTGATCAACCACTGCCAACTACAACTCAAGAATTAATCGACATATTATCAAGTGATTCTGATCCTATGCAAACAAGGCCAATAATGATAAATGCTTCAGAGACTGAAGAAAATGCAGAGGCTGTTCAAAATGAAGTTCAGCATTGTTCAATAGATATTCCAACAAATGAAGTAGTTCCTAAACCTACTTCAGAACCAGAACCAGAACCAGAACATGAAGCAGAACCTGAACCAGAACCAGAACCAGAATTAGAACCTGATACTGAAACAGAAGTAGAACAACCAACTCGTACTAGTGATAATGACACAGCTACAGCAAAAACTTTAGTTGATCAAGATTGGTTTTCTGGGAGTGATGACAGTGAAGGTGTCAGTGGTAATGCAGAAAATGATGTGGCATTACATGTAACAAGTACAGTCACAGAATCACAGTCATTAAATGCTCCCTGTACTACTGTACAGAAACCTGCTACTAAGAAAGGTAGCATCTTTAAAAGTCGTTCAACAGGTGCAACCAATGGAAACAAAAGACGAGCATTGTACAAACACAAGTGGTGTGATAGTGATAAAGAATCTAATACTACAGATAATACTAATACTGGTAATAGCACACCAACTATTGCTTCAGGATCCCATGGTGGTACAGGACCTGTTGCCTATGGAGAAGAATTTGATGCCTCAAAACTTACAAGAGTGGTAACATATTCTGAAGTTGATGCAGACTTTGCAGACGAATCTGATGTTGTAACAAGTGTTCGTTGTGGCAAGAAAGTTAAGGGTGTATGTATATTAAATAAAAAAATAATAATATTTTTTGCAATTGTTTATAGCTTGCAGGATTACAAATAATATTTATTTTTCAGTTTTACACTGTAGTGAAAAATGTAAAGAAGGCGCATCAGATTCAAGAGAGTGGAGAATTTCAAGAGTTTAATGACGACGTTGAATATATATTAGACACTTTAAGAGAAAATAATCCCAATGCTACTCGTTGCCTTTCCGCTATACGATTAGCAAGCAAATGTATGGCACCTGCATTTCGTATGCATGTACGTGCTCATGGAACTGTTGCTAAATTCTTCAAAGCTCTTCATGATGCAACTAAAGATCAGGTACAAATCTTTTATACATAAAATATGATGTATATAAATTTTTTCAATCTTAATGAGTTACAATAAAATGTATCCCTTTACAGAGTCTTGCCTTATGTACAGCAACAGTAATGTTCGTATTAAGTCAAGATCGTTTGGCTATGGATTTAGATCGTGATTGTTTGGAATTAATGTTAAGTTTATTAGAATCTGATGCAAGTCACAAAGATGCACTTGATGATTGTGGCCTTAGCAGGGCAGAACTCTTAAAAAATAAAGAGAAAGTACGTCAGTTGTGTGCTGATATTCAAGCTCAAGGGCATGCAAAACATTTAAATCTTGATAATATAACTGTAAGTGGGGTATTAATAATTATAAAGAAAAAAAGATGCATAAAAATAAAATAAGTTATTCCCAACTAGGTTGGTCAGCTTGCTATGGAGACGCTTCTTAGTCTTACATCAAAACGTGCTGGTGAATGGTTCAAAGAAGAACTTAGAGAACTGGGAGGCTTGGAACATATTGTAAAAACAATCCGAGATTGTCATCGTCATATTAATACCCAAGATATTACAAGATCTGGTTGGACAGATCCATTATTAGATAAATTACGTAAAGTTGATAGATGTTTGCGTGTATTAGAAAATGTAAGATCAATAGGATTTCGTATAATAATACATACATATAACGTAAGTAACAAACAATTTATCTTTTACTGAAACATATTATTTCAGGTTACTGATATGAACGAAGAAAATCAAGTATATTTATTAAAATATGAAAATGGAATTTTAGTCAGCACTTTAGCAAATTTGTATCATCTCTGTGGACAAGAAATTCCTATTTACCCTACTATAGATTCAAGTGATAAAACTTCTACTGGTGCTGTTATTAGAGAATGTCTGTTTGCTATTATAAAAGTTCTTATTAATCTCACGCATCGATTTAATAGACAATGTAAGATTCTATTATATATTATATTTACATATTAATTTTAATGCACATATAATCTTTATAATGCGCAAAAACGATTTTTGGTCAACTTTTTAGCTTTCGGAAGCAAATCATTAGGCTCGCAACCAGGTGTCTTAGATTGTAGTTTATATCTTTTGTTGCGTGTCCCAGAATCACTTCCTGAAGAAAAACGTTTTGATATGATGATGTTAGCTTTGATTCTGCTGATAAATTTAGTAGAGCAATGTGACGATAATAAACAGCTTCTTATCGAATCAAAAGCTCCCCCCTCAACAGAAGATATTTTTGACGGTAAATATACATTACACGTATTATAATGCAACGATGACCCGAATTTAATGTATTATAAAATAACTTTTGTATAAAACAGCTGAGCAAAGTGGAGTGGAATGTTTGATTGATCTATTTTATAAACAAGAAGAATTAGCTCGTGCCGAAGAGCAGAAAACAGATGCTATTTTAGATGGTAAAAAAGACTCTGAACAAACAGAAACTGTATCAACAACAACTAAATCTCAAGAAGAGTTTATTGAAGAAACTGTTACAAAATGTTTGTATATTTTATTTAAAATGTTATCAAATTTTATAAAACGTAATTTCATAAATAATTTATATTATAGTGTTACAAAAAGCGGGACGTCATATGGAACATACTTTAATAGGAGCATATGTAGTGCTTTTACTTGGTTACTTAATAATGGATAATAAGGTAACAAATTTTAAACGCTGCAATATAGAAGAAACAAAATCAGTACAATATACATGTGTTTTAACTGTATCTATTTTTAGGACTATGAATCATTGGTACGTAGTAGACTTCCAGATAACAATTTTACTACCATGGTATCTGTACTTCAGAAATTTTTCAATTTCATGAATTTAACTGCGTCGGTAAGTATCTTTTATTTTTATATGACAACTTAATTAAATGTTTGTATATTCGATTGTTTATAAACATGTATATAATTTGTTATAGAATGAAGTAAGCAGCTGTGGAATTGCTGCTACTGAAAAGGTGATCAAGTTCCTAAAGATATCAGATGCCAGAATTGACGACGAGAAAAATGAATTACCGCTATCAGCGTTAGAAGATTCAAATATGATGCTCCATTTATCTTCATCTTGATTGATATATTCACACATTTGATATTTTTTATTACCCTGGCATGCAAAAAGAGCCAAAGTTATATGTGTCCAACGAAAGAAATTTTATCTATTACAGAACGAATGGTTCTGTTTCATATTGACCATATATTTTGATATATATTTATTCATTTACATAATTTATTGCTGTACCTTTCATTAAATTTACTTACTTTTCCCACTTGCAGTAACACATTAGATATTAAGCATAAATTAATTAGTCATGCAAAAATTTATTACAATAAAAACCGCGCCTTGTAATTACGCGTATGGTTCAATTAAGTTTATTGATAACATATATGTAATAATATTATTTTAATTGCTTTGCCAATCATCAATGACTATTCAAGAAAAAGTTTTGACTGTCAAGAAGAATAACAAAATGTAAACTTCTTGCCAGGTTATCATTTGTTTGCTGTATAATAATGCATAAATTTTAAGTTTCACTGTTTGGAAATTTCACTTTGTATTTTAAGTTTTAATAAGCGATTGGCGGTGTTGGGGTTTATTATAACCCGTTAAACTTTGAGAAAGCATTATTATGTAAGTTTATTTTAATATTAAAATTATACTATAAGCCTTGTAAATGTAAATTTATAAATTATAATTGTATCTTAAATTTACAGTTTCAAATTATTAAATCCTTTTAATAATGCGGAAACATGTCTGTGAGTGACGCTGTGACGTTGTACGCATGCTAGAAAACAAGGCAGAAAATGTTATATGTGTATGTACAACATGATAGTACCACAGTGTCGATCGAGCATCAAATTTTTGTTAAAAATTCAAAGTAAATATTATTTCCGTGGGGTTTTAGTCAATAGGAATCTGACACTCCCCCGCCGCCCTGCCCAGGGACGGTGGGGGGTCTTATGCAAAATTTCCCAACGTTAAAAAAAAATCCTTTACATCTCCGCTTTCCTTACATTCCTGCATCCCTTACATCTCTGCAATCCTTACATCCTTGCATCTCTTTTGTAAGCATTCCATTATAGCGCCTCCTAGCGGTAAAAAGAGGAACTAAAACTTGTCGAAATTTTGGCCCCCTAACGGGAAAAATTTGAACTAAAATTTCGACTTCGAATTGGCGCCCTCTGGCGGCAAAAAAGGAACTAAATTTTGCAAAAATTTAAATTTAAAATTATTTTTCACGAGGTTTTACTGACCTTTGTAAGGGATACAGAAATATAAAGGGTACAGAGATGTAAGGGATGCCGAGGTATAAGGAATACCGGCATATACGAGATGCAGAAATATAGGGAATGTATTGATATAAGGAATACCGAGATGTTAAGGATGCAGACATGTAAGGGATTCAGTGATAAAAGGTTGACCCTCGTGAGGCCCTTAAATACAAAAAAATAATAAATAACTGGGAAGGTTGAGCCGAGGCCCATAAGTCGTGTTGTAACTCATTTATTCCCCGTGTATAGCGGGGCGTTCCACTATTCCTATTAAAAGAGATAGGATTTCATGAACTTTCATTAACATATTTTAAGAAAAAAGTGATACATTACATTATTATTAACTTCAATAAACTATAAATCTGTAAAATAAAGCATTTTTAAATAAAAATTTATTATAATGTGCAGTATACTATGGTTGTTAGATTAGGTCTCTACATTACCAATACTTGTTAATATTACCGGTAAATTAGCTGAACTCCGATAAAATACCAATTACCGGGACACTGAATCGATGGTGAAAAACCATTTGAGTTCAGCTGAGGTGTACGAAATACTGCGAAATACAGAAGGGTATTCCTTTAATTTCCATGTAATTGCCTATATAATGTAATAGCATTTATAACAGTAGTAATAATAGCAACAATAAAATGTTGACTATGCATCTTTTCCCCAGGTAAACTGTAATTTACGTAATATGATAATATTGAAGTATGTAATAACCTATCAGTTGCATACAATGTGTTATAAATTTAATGAAATAAAAAGATATTCACTTTTAGAAATATCAAAACTCCAATAGCGTTGCCGTTTCAGTGGTTAAATATTACATTCAATGTAGTAAAGTCAAATTCTTCGTCTTCATCGTCGTCATCCGATTCATCCTCAGATTCAGATACTGACACTGAGTCCTCTAAGAGAAACAAAGTTATTAATAACAAAATCACAGATTACCTGTATGCTGCAGATATAAAAAAGAAACAAAAGCAATTAGGTAAGATCATACTATCACTTAAGATAATTAAATAATGAAATGAAAATTTTTTATCACAGAAGATGAATTAAACAGAGCAGCAAAATCACTTTTAAGCACAGATGCAGAAGAAGATAAAGAGAGAATTGTTTCTAATATATTAAACACTATTTCTTACATAGAACAATACTATCAGTTAAACAAAAGGTCTGTATACAGTTTTAATAAATTGTGTAATATTTATTATTTGCTTTAATTAAATTATACTGGTAATATGTTGATAATAATGTTTTAATATGATGTTTTTAGTGACAAATCTACAAATAGAACAAGTAAACAGAGACAAAGTGAATCATCTGTAATTAGAACATTACTAAATCAGAAGAAGGAAATAAAGAGTACTAAAAATCAGCTTAGACAAAAACCTGAATTGGAAGAAGAACCATCTGTAATTAGAACATTACGAAATCTGCAACAGCAAATAGAGAGTACTGAGAATCAGCTTAGACAAAAACCTGAATTGGAAGAAGAACCATCTGTAATTAGAACATTACGAAATCAGCAACAGCAAATAGAGAGTACTGAGAATCATCTTAGACGAAAACCTGAATTGGAAGAAGAACCATCTATAATTAGAACATTACGAAATTTGCAACAGCAAATAGAGAATACTGAGAATCAGCTTAGACGAAAACCTGAATTGGAAGAAGAACCATCTGTAATTAGAACATTACGAAATCAGCAACAGCAAATAGAGAGTACTGAGAATCAGCTTAGACAAAAACCTGAATTGGAAGAAGAACCATCTGTAATTAGAACATTACGAAATCAGCAGCAGCAAATAGAGAGTGCTGAGAATCAGCTTAGACGAAAACCTGAATTGGAAGAAGAACCATCTGTAATTAGAACATTACGAAATCAGCAACAGCAAATAGAGAGTACTGAGAATCAGCTTAGACGAAAACCTAAATTAGAAGAAGGACCATCTGTAATTAGAACATTACGAAATCAGCAACACCAAATAGAGAGTACTGAGAATCAGCTTAGACGAAAACCTGAATTGGAAGAAGAACCATCTGTAATTAGAACATTACGAAATCAGCAACAGCAAATAGAGAGTACTGAGAATCAGCTTAGACGAAAACCTGAATTGGAAGAAGAACCATCTGTAATTAGAACATTACGAAATCAGCAACAGCAAATAGAGAGTACTGAGAATCAGCTTAGACGAAAACCTAAATTGGAAGAAGAACCATCTGTAATTAGAACATTACGAAATCAGCAACAGCAAATAGAGAGTACTAAGAATCAGTTTAAACGAAAACCTGAATTGGAAAAAGAACCATTTGTAATTAGAACATTACAAAAGCAGCAAACAAGCTCAAAACATATAGAGGAAGAAAAGAGCCAAGAACTGTTTGAGGATATTTTTGTGAATCAATTTACTGAAACCACTGCCGTTGCCGACCTTGAAACGTGGAATAAGTGTGAAAAATTTGAATTGCAGCGTGTAATGAAACAGTTTCCAAAGAATGCATTTGAAGAAATGATAAGATGGACTGAGGAAGGAAAATTGTGGCACTTTCCTATTGACAACGAGCAAGGTACTATATGGAAATTATATTTATGTAAAAATTTCAACATACACTTATTATTATACATTTTTTTTGTAACATAGGCCTGGAAGGAGAGAACGACGTGCATTTCTCAAAACACGTATTTTTGGAACAACATCTAGCTGAATGGTGTCCTACTAAAGGACCAATACGACATTATATGGAATTAGTGTGCATAGGGCTTTCAAAAAATCCATATATGACAGTTAACGAGAAGATAGATCATATAATGTGGTATAAAGAGTACTTCGGAAACAAACAGGATTTATTGAAAAAATTGGGACTTGCAGCATAAAAATTTTTGTAGTAAAAGAGTACGCAATAAAACAGTAAATTTACAGTTATATATTTATATTTAATTCTTAAGAAATGCTTTTTTTCCAACTATTTACAACTACAACTATCTTTTTTACAAAGTATCTTTTATATAAATTAGTTTGCAAAACAAAGTGACGAAATGTAATTGCGCCTTTTTGATTTAAATGCGAAGTGTGATTGGTTCAACTTTATAAGACTGGACATGCCTTTGATTTCGACGACACGTGCTTACGGGGTCCTAGACACCCTAGGAAATCAGGTCGGTATCTAAAGAGCGCCATATCTATATAAATCAGTGGCACAGTCACGATGGTCACGACCCTTTGAGAACAAATGCATGTCTAATATCCAGTCTTCTACTATTTGTAGTCAATGGTATAAGACTGTATTTATAAACACATGAAATTTGTAAAGAAAAATGATCGAAACAGAAAATATTGAAGATCAAAATGGATTACGTCCAGATGGTAGACGAGCATTAGAATTAAGGCAAATTCGTGTAAAAATGGGAGTTTTCGGTCAAGCTGATGGAAGTGCTTATATCGAACAGGGTAACACCAAAATTTTGGTTACAGTATATGGACCGCATCAGGTTAATGATTTATTATCTATTATATTTTTAATAATATATGGGAAATAAAGTTTATAATTATAAATTCTGATATATATAGCCACGAGGTTCTACAGGAAGGAATACCGGAAAAGTTACTAAAGGCATAGTAAATTGTCAATATAGTATGGCAGTATTCAGTTTATCTTCTGGAGAACGTAAACGAAAACCACGTGGTGATAGAAAATCCCAAGAAAAATCACTTCAATTAAAACATGCCATGGAAGCAATAATACATTTAGAATTATATCCACGTTCACAAATAGATATTTATGTAGAAGTATTACAAGTTGATGGAAGTGAATACTGTGCATCTATAAATGCAGCTACACTTGCTTTGATTGATGCTGGAATTCCTATTAAGGTAAAATATGGTAATCTAAAGTAAATTTTTTATCATTTTGATTCAAAGAATATTTTTAGAATTAAATTTGTTGTTTCTTTTTTTACAGAATTATGCTATAGGTTGTACTGTAACATTAACTAATTCTTCATCTTTAGAAAATGAAGATAGTTCATTAGGAACAGGAGTATTAGATGCAAATTATATAGAAGAATGTGCTCCTGGTGTTACATTATCTGTTATTGCTTTACCCCATAGTGATGGTGTATCAAGGGATGGCTTAATAGTAGTAGCACAAGGAGCAGGACAAAGGTTGCATTTATCACATTTTGAATCTTTAAAAGATCGTGTGTTATATGGATGTCAGGATATAAAAACTATTTTAGATCAAGCAGTTAGACATTATTTAACAGAGCAGTCTCTCCCTTCTCTTTTTCATGCCACACTAGATTAGAAATATTGGTAAAAATTGAACACTAAAGTATCCTAAAATAATATACTTCAATTTTTTTTTTTAATAAAGATATACAAAACTTATTAAAATATCTTTCATTATATAACTTAACTATATTTTTTTATATAAATAGTTCTCTTGTTCGATATCTTGTCTTTGTTACTTTTTAAGTTTTAAACTTTAGCTCCAGGATACCTTTCCATAATCATACCTACACCCTGTAATTTATATACTTGGTAAAATATTTAATGCAACTTAAACAAAAAATACTTTTACAATTCTTTTACCTGACCACCAGCTGCACAAGCTGCAATTAATCCGAATTGTTGATCTTCTCTAATGAGTCGGTTAGCGGTATGAGTAGCTAATCGGACTCCAGTTGCTGCAAATGGATGACCAATTGACAAAGACCCACCCCAGGCATTCCACTTAGTAAGATCTGGTATTCCTACTTTTGTAGACCTGCCTAAATAATTTTGTGCGAACGTATCAGAATCTAATGCTTTTAAATTGGCTAAAATTTGTCCAGCAAAAGCTTCATGTATTTCCCATACTCCAATATCCTTTACATTTAATTTAGCTTTTTGTAATACCTGCAATTTATGGAAACATGTATATTAAGATTTAAAATAATTAAAACTAATTAAAAACTAAATAAATTAAATTCACACATAACAATTTTATAACCTTTGGTATAGCATATGACGGTCCCAAAAGTAACTGGTCAACAGGATCTTGAGAAACATAAGTAAAATTTTTTAAGTATGCCTTTGGAGTAAGGCCAAGCTGAAGAGCTTTCTCTTCTGTCATTATTAAAGCTGCTGATGCTCCATCAGTTAAGAAAGAAGCATTAGCAGCAGTTACACTTCCGTATGGCTTAACAAATGCTGGTTTTAACTTTCCTAGTTGTTCTAATGTAGAAACACGAATGCCATTATCCTTATCAACAACTTCGGTTATATTTGGTACTAGAAGAAATATTAAAAATCAGTATCGTGTCTTCGCTCGATTTTATGTATCTTTACCTTTATAAGGGACTACATCTGTAAGATACCCTTGTTGCTGTGCTTTTGCAGCTAAAGTGTGTGAACGTAAAGCATATTCATCCTGCTCTCTTCTTGATACTCCAAATGCTGCTGCTAATCTATCACCACTATGCCCCATTGTTTCATTACTAGAAAATTCTGCTACAGCAGGTAACTGTAATTATTAAAATATAGTCAAATGTTATGTATAAATACATATTTACAGGAATTAATTTTGATATAAAAAGAAACATACATCTGGTATAAAATGACTTGGTCTAATACCAGCAAGAAGTGCTAATTTCTGTTTAACTGATTTTGCTTTATTGGCTTGCAACATCAAAGATCTCATACCCCTACTGTGTCTAATTGGTATATCTGACATAAATTCTACTCCACCTGCAACAACTACATCATATACACCCAAGGCAATCAAGCCCATACCAGTTGTAAGAGCTTGATTACTACTGATGCATGCCATAGTTACTGTATGTGCAGGAGTATGATCACTATATCCTGCACCCAAAGCTGCTTCTCTAGCAATATTTGAAGTTCTTACTTCTTGCATCACTGTACCATAAACAATATATTCAACAATTTCTCTGGGAAATTTAATTTTTTTTTGCAGAGCCCTTATAATAAAAGATATAAAAGATTAGATTATAAATTTTAAATGACAAGAAGAAAATGCAGATATTTAAATTAACTTACACTAGTGAATCTCTAGCAAGGTCATATGCCATTAACTGTTTATAACTTGTACCAGCTTGTAAAAATGGTGTTCTAACACCATCAATGAATACAATATTTTTAGAACCATTATTACTTTTAGTGGCATATGATTTATTTATTATTCTCCAGCAATTTATAGGAGATCCTAATACAAAAAATATACATTAGTACCTACATATAAAATAAATAATACTTTTGATAATACATATATGTTTATTACATTTATTATATTATATAAACAATTTTTATAACAATTGTTCAATTATTTTCTAATTATAGTTTAATCTACAGTTTTTGATTCTGTACTTTGCTCCCATACTTACAAATACATAATAAATTGACACTACTTTAAATTCCTATATAATATTTATAGTAATTACAAAATAATTTAGCATACCATACTTAGCAAGTCCTTGCTTCATTATAAGACTATTTTGAATACAAAATATCATTTTTATGCTGAATCTGGATTTTTAGATTTCAAACAATTTAGTTTTGCTTTTAATGTCAGTATTTTCCTACCAGTATAAAGATACCCGCAAAAAACGTACGGTGCCCGTGACGTGCACTTTGATTTATACTTTAGCCTGCTTTAGCCGAGTTCTCAATATTTTTAACCTTTTGTGAACCATAACCAAACTGTTGCTACATGAAAACATTCTTAATTCTTAAGTGCGGGAAAACTGTCAGATTTTCCCGCGTATAAGCTTGTGTATATGAATAGTTTCTATTGCTGTGTAATAAACAGTGATTTCATGTAGTTTCAGAATGAATCTAGTGCATTCTATTGTAGAACGTGAAAAAGGATGTGGTAATTTATATTTAATTAGTTTTAACTATTTGTAACTGATTAAAAATTGAAAAAAATTATAAGTATTAAAGGACAGGTTATATGTAACTTTAACTTCATAGTTAATGTCATGTTTAAGATGATATTTACACGTTTCACTTGCAATGTTAGCTGTTAAACATGAAATATAAGTTTTGCAAAAGCAAAATACTTTTCTTTTTCAGCATCAATACGTGATTATGATATCGCTTTATACCGTTTAAAATGCTACCAAGATGACGTTTACCGTGGTATAACACCAAATACAAACGCGCTTGATTTTAATCCAGAACCACCAGTTTTTGCTTGTCGATTTTGTACTACAGAAGGATACGAACAAATAATTGCTTTAGCAAATGAGGATGGAAAGATTGCTCTACAAGATATAAGCATTAAAAAAGGGTCAAATCAACCATTGGAAGGAACACAGGTATTATTACAAAATGTTTGAACAATACTAATTAAAAATGTTATCATTTATTCGTGATAATCTTCAAACAGAAACATTTAAATTATTTTCAGGCACATTGTAATGCAATATTTGATGTTGCTTGGATGCCAGGAGAATTAAAATTGGTCACAGCTTCTGGTGATCATACTGCAAGATTATGGGATGTATCTGGATCTGAAATAAAACAAATTGATTATTTTCATGCTCATACAAGAAGTGTTAAGACTGCAGTGTTTCGTTATCAGGACAAAGGTATATTTTAATATTTGATATATTTAATCAGTTATATGTTTAGTAAATATTTAAAACTATTTTTGAAAATGAAATGTTTTAGCTGTATTTGCAACAGGAGCAAGAGATGGTTCTATCATGATATGGGATATTAGAGCTAATCATTATGAACGCCCCAAACCAGATAATTGTATTTCCAATGCACATAATACTGGCACTATAGGTAATGTAAGACAGCGTAGGGTAATTAGTCAGGTATCTAGATCACAAAGTATTACTGGTTTGGCATTTCAAAATGATTTTACTTTACTTTCTTGTGCTGCTGGAGATGGGTAAGTTTATTATTATAAATGAAATTAATCACATGAAGTAACAATGTTAAGAAACATTATTGTTACAGTGTGATAAAGGTGTGGGATTTACGTAAAAATTACACTGTTCATAAAAAAGAGCCTTTGGCTAAATATACAATGAACTATACTGGACATAGTGCAAGAAATGGATTTTCATCACTATTAATATGTCCTGCTAGGATTACATTATATGCAAGTTGTATGGATAACGTTATATATGCATATAATATATCATCTTATAATCCTAAACCAAGTAAGTATAACTATAAAAAAGTAATTTTATTTATACTAAATATTAATAGTATATTTATTATTTTTTATTTATTAGTGGCAGAATTTTATGGGCACCAAAACTGTACATATTATGTTAAAACGTGTTTAAGTCCTGATGGACGTTATATTGCTAGTGGTTCCAGTGATGAACTTGCATACATTTGGCGTACAAATAAACCAGGAACACCAATTGTGCAACTGTCTGGACATACTGAAGAAGTTACGTGCATTGCATGGTGTAACATTGGAGAAAGCAAAGTATTAATCAACATCATTAAACGTTATCTTTGACTATTTAATATATATATATATATTATCTAATACTAATTTCTTTGAAAATATTACAGATCGTAACATGTTCCGATGATTCGTGTCATAGAATTTGGAGAGTTGGTTATGAACATAAAATAGAAAATGAAGAGATTCAAATATGTGGTCATGCAGAAGCTATTGTTAACAAAAATCCTTTAGAAAATTTAAAGTTAGAAACTACACCAACTGTTACTCGACGATGGGTTGCATCTCAAGAATGTACTCCTGGATCCGATACCACACCAAGTACGTAACTACATATTCATAAAAATGTCATTTTAAATTCATTATTTTAAACATCATTATGGTTCTCTATTAGATGCTACTCCTGGGCCTAGTTCATCAGATACTCAAATTGGCGATTATCACGGTTCATATACTGTTAGTAATTCGATGAAAAGAAATTATTCCCAAATAGCAACTGGTGGATCATGGACGGATGGGAAATTTAAATCCATTTTGTCACCTATAAAAGAGAATTTTGAATTTGTTGCCAAACGAGCTCATTTAGAAAATCGTGGCGCACGAAGGTTATTTAGTCCTGGTAATGATATTAATCCATTAAGTAAAAGCCATAAACCTGATGAACCAAGTACAAGTTCATCTGGTATAGAAATTAAAAATAATGAAATTTACTTTTCGCCGACATCAAATCTTCCAAATTTTGTAATTGATGGTACAGCGCCGCATTTACTTCAACTTTCTCCAGAAAAGTATAAAGAAAATATCGACTGGTTAACACGAATACGAAAAGAAAAATTTGAGCAGAAAACGAGAAAAACAGTGTCAGAAAAGTTAGCTAGCCCTAATTCTCATATTACATCAACTAAAAGAACTGGTAGATCACGATCAACAGAACCACAGAAAGTATCTAAAGTATCTAAAAGCCCAGTTCCTTCTTTGTTACATTTTTTTAAAATTACTGGAAAGGACTGTGAAACAAATGTATATTGCGATAGTAGTAAAGTAGTATCTTCTACAAAATCTTGAAAGTAATTTTAAATTTTGCCGTTCATCAGACTGTATTTTAATTATTTAAAGTTTTATATACATATTTTATTAGAAATTGATTCTATGAAGTAATAGAATCGTATTCAAAATGTTAATTAATGAGTGTGATTAAAACTTCAGCGCGCTTTCTATTGATTATTATGTGGTACCTTACATAACAGTTAAAGTTATAGAATTTAAAACGTAAGATAAGTGACATTTACTACAAAAGTATTACAAAACATGTAAAAATGGATTATATACTCAAAAGTGTCATGTACTGTTAGTAGTAGCATAGGATATCTTTTATACAAAATAAATTATTTTTATAATATATATTAAACAAAAATTTTCTTATTTAATTTATCGATACTAAATTTTTAATTTAGTATCATAAAAGATGGAGAATTAAAGTATGAAAGTGCAAAATATGCAGTAACTAATTTTTTAATTTTATTTGTATTATATATATTTACTATTAACTATTTAATTCAGAACAAAATATTTTCACCGCTCGAGAAACTAAGTTAATGTTAATTGGTTTGAGTTCATATTCATCATTATCAATGTGTAATGTACATTCTTTGTCCACCTATAAACAAATTGATCTATATATATATATATATAAAATTAATATCAAGATAAAATTGTTGAGATCATAAAAAATTTACCCTTTGTGGAATTAGTTCAATGTTCTTTGCCTCTACAATTTGTTCACATTCTAATTTATTACTGTTTTCTTGTTTCCATCCTTGGGTCATAAATGAAAGATAATTAATATTCTTTGGACCTGCAACATTAAAAATATTTCACGATAATATAATATTTAAATATTTATTAAATATAACATTTGTTTTTAATTACCTATTTCTATTTTTAAAGATGATGGTGATGCAACCTGTAGCTTATTTATATTAGATGCTTCTATATGCAATTCGCTCGTTGAAACAGATAGTTCATGAAAAATGCCACAATTTTCATTTATTACCTTACTATAGTCAATAGTATCTAAAAAAGAGAATGCTAGAGGTGATTTGTTGGTTTTAATATTTATATTAAATTTTTAATTTATTTAAACATACCTTCTGTGATAGGATTTCTTGGAACAAAAACATGCCACCATCTTTTATTCATGTTACTAGGTACATTTAAAAAATTCTTTTGACTACAACGAGAGCAACCTTCACATGGGGGTGTATATTTTATTATTGCATTGCAGTAATGATTTAAATTCATTTTATAACCATTCAATATGTAAGTTACATATCTGTTAAATTTAATAAATACACATAGAAATTAGAAGCTATATTAGAGAATTTATAAACAGGGTACATACTTTTTTAAAGGTCCCCAATACCAATACTTTTTAGTTAAAGCATGTGCATCTTGCCAAGCACCCCATTCGATTGCTCCCATAGCATAGATTGGTTTTACTGGTTCTTCAGGATTATGCTTCAATCATGAAACAATGGATATAAGGTTTACAATTCAGTAAATTAATGAAAATTTATTACATATAGTTAAAACATACTTCAATAGGTTCAATTTCAATAATATCCATCATTTTATATTTCTCACTTATAATTGCTATTGTTGCTTCTAATATCTGTTTCACGTCAGTCAAATGATCATATTCATGATATAAGGATTTTGCAATTTTGCTTGTTTGTCCTAATGGCAGAATACCAATAGGACATTGTTTAACTGAATTAAGATTAGCATTATATTTTCTGACTAATCCTGTCAAAACATCAGACAAAGTACCATCTCCTCCTGCCACAATGATGGCATCTGTAGGTGTATCTAAATCCATAATAAGCTTTCTGGCTGCATTTTCTGATTCAGTTTGTAATATGGTCACAGCTATTCCAGCTAAGTGTAAAAGAGGCTCACAATAATCTTTAAATAATTTTTTAGCTTTCCTATAGGTAACAACAATTATTGTTAATAATCAAATTATTATTTAATTTCATATTTATAAATCAAATATGAGCACACCCTTTTTTAGCAACTGGATTCAAAATAACAGTCACATGTCGAGGCTTTAAATTTGTTGGAAGTGAGTTATCACCATATTGTGATATACTCTTACAATATTCTCTCATTAATTGTTTCGTGCTAAAAATAAGAATATTTCCATTAAAAAATTGTAATTAAATACAATAAAACTAATGTTTTTCAATTTATATTTATTTGTATCTCAAGTATAATACAAATGTTTATGTTTAAAGTAATATCTTACTCATATACATCTTTACTATATGAAACTCCATATGTTAAAAGTGCAGCTCCTACAAGAGATTTCTTCCAGTTATTCCTAATAGTTCGACAAAAAGTCAATACTTTGGCCATTATTTTAACACCTTAAACTTTTAACAAAATAACCTCTATAAATCTGTAGTCCTCATATCATATACCTATTAACACTTTTATTGAAAATCCTTAAAAGATCATAAAGGTATCAAGAACACTGATGCTAGCAAAAATAATGTTTAAATGCTTTTCATTATAATACTTTATACAGAAAATTAATTTTGTTATAACCTCGACACCTCCTATATTTATCAATAATTCATACAACATAATGTTTCAAAGTACGATTTAGGAAACTTATCATTCTTATAGGAATATAATCATTTTTTAATTTTCTTAACTTTTTTTAATTATGCGGTGTTAGTACAATATAACAGTTGTATTTTACTATATAAACTGATTGGAGAGACATGTTTAATATTCCACGTGGTTCAGACTGCTTCAGATAATGTACATACATACATATCCATTTCAATTTTAATGTAATGAATTATATATAGATTAATAATAATTCTTCCATATTATATGTATGTATGTATGTATTTCTACATATATTTATAAATATCTTTATATATCAGTTAAATCAAATTAACAAATTTAACATAATAAATACTGCTTTATTATGCATATAAATAATAGAATGACTTATGATTTCATTTAGTAAAATATTTGAATTTTATAAATCATTATAAAATTGATGAAAAAATATTGTATCAAATAATTTTATACGGCAGTTACTCCATCTATATGTTTAAATTACGAAAACCGTAGTATTGGATCAGTCAATTATATTGTGAACTACCTACCACCTTCGTTATTTTTTTGTAGATAAACTACGTTGACAATAAGATACTTTCATACGTATCAGCCATTTTATCAGGTAATTTCATTTAAAAAAAGAAATGAACAATAAATTTATGTAACGTGTAAACGTATATATACACACGTTTGATTCGTGCTTTTTATAAATCTGTAATATTAATATGTTTTTGAAGATGACAGATGAGTGCAATCATCGTTTTGATTCTGTCACTTGTCCATGATCATGTATAGTAACTGTATTTCATAAAACGCATTTTATACATAAGATTACGTTTACTTTAAGATTTCATAAATGTTACGTACTTTCTGTATCCTTATGTATGTACTATAAAGTATATATTTTATAGTGATTGCGTATAATTACCTTAAACCAGAATAGCTTTGATTATGTGGGTTAAATTTTTGATTTTACATTTATCAATATTTTGTTTGTATTTTGCAATGTCTTGTATATAAATATTATTAAAAATTCTTAAAACAGTTTGTAAGCTTGAATGTATATTGAAAATGTTTGAAGATTTGTTTATATTTAAAATACTAAATTTCAATCATATTCTTATTTAATCTCCTTTAGGATTATTTATTCTTGTCTGTATTTCTATTTGTAGTATGTAAATGAATATTTTCAATATTTTTACAGGTAAAATTAACATAAATTATAGGTGTTATGAAAAGTATGAAAAAAACATTTATAAAATTGAACATAGTGTTTTGGTGATAATAAAAGATGGATGTTAAGGACTATCACAAGGTGTGTGAGGAAGTATATGATACTGAACCTTCTACATCTAAAGAGGATACTGTAAACAGTTTACAAAATATCGCGTTAGAAGAAATGAACAATATCTCAAAAGGTAATGAAGTTGATATAAATGAGCTAAAAATGGAAGTTGAAACATTAGAAGCAGTAGATCAAACTCAAGCTGAAAGTAAAGTAATTCAAGAAGTTATTGAACCTTCTATTGATGATAAATGTGATGTTAATACAAAAGATATATTTGGACCAACTGAAGATAAAGAAACAATTAGAGAAACATCCTTTTCTATTGTAAATTCAAATGTTTCATCAGAACCAACAACCTCACAGGACAATACTCCTTCTTCCTCAAATGACATTGAATCAAGCGGTTCACCTTCTAATGATCAAAATAAAATTAAACGAAGTATTTCCAAAGGTATTATAACGATTTCTTTTGTCACTTAAAATTATTTGGTTGTACATGTACTATTATTAATTTTGATTTATAGGTCAAGTAAATGGTGATAGTGGCATTTCAATGGAAAAATCTGGTAATAGTTCTGATGAAGATTCAAGTAAGCGGCAAAAGTTGAATGAAACCGTATCTAGTAAATCAAAATCTGACGATGAAAATGTAGATAATGTACCAAAGTTTCATAAGTTAAAGTCCAAAGTAAAAAAACGTAATTATCGCAGTAAGAGACCTCCAGCAGGAGAAAATGCAGATAGTTGCAATGAAGGAAGTACTGAAGATGTTGAAATGAGACAAGGTAACTTATTAATGAAAAATACGTAATATTTAAAGAATTCCATTGTGACATTGTATTCAAACATAGAAACAGAGGAAAGCACAACATCTAGAGGAGTAGAAAATCGTGAACGGGGATTGGAAACAAATAGTGATGGTCCAGATGTTGAAGATGCAGGTATGTATTACTAAATGCATATTATTTTATCAATTTAATTTGTACTTCATATTTTTACTTTTCAAGATGGAAATGATTCAAATGAATGGACAACAGCCAGTGAAGAAGAGTTAGAAGAAGCAGAAGAAGATATTCCTGCTTGTTTAAAGAAAGAAAAGCCAAAGCCAAACTGGTTTGTAGTGCCAGAAATTATTCACCGTGAAATGGGCAACAATCCATTATTTCAACGTCGATATTATGGTTCCTTGCATGTCGTAGAACGTTTAGAACTTGCATATAAACTCGAAGAACATCAGGTACTTATCATATTGTACATTTTTAATTTCAGCGATTGGAGTATTAAATTTTATTTTATTTTTTAAGGGCTGTGTTAATGCTTTAAATTTTAATCAAAGAGGAAATTTACTAGCTAGTGGTTCAGATGATTTGGCTGTAGTTATATGGGACTGGGCAAAAGGGAAAAAGCATCATTCTTTTGATAGCGGTCATAGAAGTAACATGTTTCAGGTATGCAAAAGAGGTATATTAGTATAGGTTTGCTCAAGTTTGTAATCCTAATTCTACAGTTTACGATTTTTAGGCAAAATGGTTACCATTTCATGTAGAATATTTAATGGCTACGTGTGCTCGTGATGGACAAGTACGTTTATTAGATGTTAGACGCGGTACATCACGAAGAATAGCAATGCACCACGCGCCTACTCATAAACTTGCAGTTCATCCAGATGCACCTCATGTTATAATTTCTGTTGGTGAAGATGCTAAAGTGTTATCTATAGATATTAGAGAAGAAAAACCAACAAAGTATGTTGTTTAATCAGTACTTTTTACTTGATTTCAATTTTTCTATAATACATGGAAATGGTTTTGTTGTATAGATTGCTAGCGGTGAAAGATGGGTCTTCTGATGTGCAATTGTACAGTGTTCATTCAAACCCGCTTAATAGTAATGAATTTTGTGTTGGTGGTCGGTCTCAAGTGGTTAGAATATATGATCGACGAAAAGTGTCTGCACCGTTACATAAATTATGTCCTGATCATTTGGTATGTTTTTGTATTGTACAGGATTAAAAGTAAGATTATTTATCACATTATCATTTAAACTCAATTTTGCTCAAATTGTAGGCTGGGAATAAACATGCACACGTAACTTGCGCTGTATATAATTATAATGGAACCGAAGTTCTTGCATCTTATAACGACGAAGACATATATCTGTTTGATACAGTGATGCCTCAAATTGGAGATTTTGCTCATCGATACCAAGGTCATAGAAATAACGCCACGGGTATGTAGTGCATTCATTAAATGTATTGTTGATTACTTTTTCCTAATATACTATTTTATATACCACATAGTGAAAGGTGTAAACTTTTTCGGACCAAAAAGTGAATTTGTTATATCTGGATCGGATTGTGGATACATATTTATCTGGGACAAGAATACTGAAGCCATAGTAAATTGGATGCCCGGTGATGAACAAGGAGTGGTATGCAGTTGGATTAAATTAATTCAGAAAACATGTAATTTAAACATTATACAAATTATAAAAACATTTTGCTATGTAGGTAAACTGTTTGGAACCTCATCCACATATTCCTATCCTTGCAACAAGTGGACTTGATTTTGATGTGAAAATATGGGTGCCTTCTTGTGAACATCCTCCAAACTTAACAAAGCTAGCAAGTGTATGTATATTTTAGAATTAAGATTTCATTTAAGAAACATATATATATTTTTATATATATTTTTAGTGTGTTAAATCCAATGCGATTAATAGAGCAGAAGATACTGCTAATGAATCTGATGCATTTGATGGTCAGATGCTTTGGATATTGCTAAGAACCATCCGTCATGCAGAAAGAATAAGAGTATGTATTAAATGATAAGCTTATATTAATAAATAATGTACAATATTTTATTTGTAGCATTTTATTTAAGATGTTGATACTTTGTTCTAGAATCACAGTGCACGTAGAGGTTCTAGTGATCGAAATCGGAATGTGGCGGATGATGATGATGAGGATGATAATGTTGATGATTCTTCGGATGACAACGATTCTTCCGATCATAGTGATAGTCAGTCAGAGGGAGATGGAATTAGAACATTACAGTGCCCTCCATCATAGAGGTATTTAAACGGATTGTTTCAAGTTTCATAAATTAAAATTTACACGATGTCTTCAATAAATGTTACTAAATATTGACAATTATAGGGAAGATACATAAAAGAATGTAAAAGTTCCATAATCCCCTCTCAATTTATCTTTTTCTACCAGTTTAATAGTTTGTGCTTATTAATGATAGAAACAGTGTACGACTATTTAATACAATAATCATAAGAGTAAGTGTGCATTAAATATGTATAAAAGTTATTGTTACGAATATGTACAGTATTAGGTGATAATAACAAATAATACAGTTCTATTTCTAAAAGCAATGTGTAATTGAGATTTCTTTTTATTCTTTAAAAATTGCAAAATTTAATAGCAGTACCTGTGTTTTTTATTTGTTAATAGTTTTCGATGTTTCAAAGTATTAATGAATTGTTTCGTGATTTGATAAAGATGAATAAAATACTCGAAATAAAATGTTAAAATTTTCATTTAAAAAGTTATTAAAATACTTGTTTGTTATATGTTATAAACATAAATATCAATACAATATGTACAGTATTAAGTAGACTTCCTTACGGAAAATAGCGTTAGAGGGAAAGTAAGAATTCTCAAAAGTTTGATTTTGACGATATTGATGTTAAAAATAATTCAGAAAAAATCATATAATTTTTATTTATTAAATATTATAAAATTTAAGAAATATGAATAGTAAACCAAATATCAAATGAAATTTTGAACCCGTGAAAGTCTGGGGGGCAGCTCGGTATTTCGCCATTTTCTCTGAGGAAACCTACTGTGCTCGATACTGCATTACGTATAAGTAATTAGGCATATGAATAATGCAATTGATCTTAAAAAGATGCCAAACTGAATACCAAAATATAATATATAATATAACTAGATAAAAGACAAACTAATTGAATCTTCTATTTTGTTGTGTAAAATAAAAAATTAAATAAAACATAATGATGCGATTCATTACCAGAATAGGATTTATTTTGTTACATATATATTACAACAGCCCAAAATAAAAAATATATTCTTTAGAAATATTATTCAAAAGATACCAATAGAATGAGCAAGATCTGCATAAATATATAATGTTGTAATACCCATAATAAATGTGGTAATAGCTTTAACAATAAGAGTTGACCATGGGCCAGTTAAGAAAAATACTATAAGAAAATCTAACACAAGCTGCCTATAGACAGTAAGTATGAGCATGCTAACTACTATTGGAACTAAACCTCGTTTTAAATCATGCCTTGACCATAACCATACAAGTGTTGCCATAGTTATATGTTGCACCTACACATATTAAAAATGAAGTATTTAATATATAGTTTTTTTATAAGTTATGTAATTTTGTTATATATTTACTTACTAAATTAATATTAGATTCAAGACTCTTTTGAATGTATTTCCAATCAAATTCTGCACCTCTTGCTCCAACCCATAACAAAAGAAATCTAGTAAGCAATACTTCAGCTCCAGCCCATCCAACTCCAGCAGTTAAGACTTTTGCATGTCCCTTACCAGGTATACTGTTTAATACTAGTAATATTCCTACTAAGTCAGCTAAATCTATTGATGATTTTAAAAATTCCTAAAAATTATATTTTGTATTAAATATATAGATTACTTTTATTACATCAACATATATCTTAATGAAAATATTTAATGTAATCACATACACCAATTATATCAAAACCTTCTTCTCCTACACTGTCAGCCGTAGGAAAGAAAGTAGCAAGTGCAAGCATTTTTACTAATTGAGTGAATATATAAATACCCCCAGCTTGAATGCATTTCCAAAATGCACCATATTCAGATCTGAAAATTTATTATTATTCCCATTATTCATAAAATTCTCATTATTCCCAAAATTAAAAAACAAACTGAAAAATAAAAATAACCTCAATTATAAATAGGTTAGAAACAGATTAAGGGTACTTACAGGCCTGAATATTTGTAAGTAAGGTAATATGGAACATATACTAAAGCTAAACAATTTCCGAAATGATATAATGTCATATTTTCAGTATTACTTATGTTCATTTAATTTATAAATCAATCATTTTTAAATAAAACGTATTCACTTGTGAAAGATGAAGACGACTATGCTTAAGATAATGCGAGCGTCGAAGCCGAACTTCGAATTCCGCGTCGGTAAAACAGTCAACGTTTCATTGCATCGTAATATTGCATTCCCGAAAATACTTTTCTGAATTTAAACTATTGTTTCCCAATTAAAAAATATATAAATCTTTTTATAGTAGCTCTTAGCTTGATATCGCTTACTAAAAGTTATTTTTAGAAAACGATATCAATTACCAGGTCACACCACGTGGAGGTGGCTACGTTAGTGACCCACCCTAAAATCATAACAACGTGAAACCATTCAAAACAGACAACATAAAATAAAAATTTAAGCAATAAAATCTTGAAATAGAAAATAAAATTAACATCCTAATATCCGAAACAATTGAGAAAATAATAATAATTTAACAATAAAATGCTGTAACGGAAAACATAATTATTAGGATTAGATATACAATAACGTGAAACCATTCAAAACAGACAACATAAAATAAAAATTTAAACAATACAATCTTGAAATAGAAAATAAAATTAACACCCTAATATCAGAAACAATTGAAAAAATAACAATTCAACAATAAAATGCTGAAATAGAAAATATAATTAACATCATAATTTCTGTAACAATTAACAAAATAACAATTCAACAATAAAATGCTGAAATAGAAAATATAATTAACATCATAATTTCAGTAACAATTAAAAAATAATTCAACAATAAAATGCTGAAATAGAAAATATAATTAACATCATAATTTCAGTAACAATTAAAAAATAATTCAACAATAAAATGCTGAAATAGAAAATATAATTAACATCATAATTTCGATTACAATTGAAATGAAAAATGCCGACAACAGAAAATATAATTACCATTACAATCTCAGAGTATGTGTTAAATAAATAGAACATAATTAAAATAAGGACATGAAATATAATTAATGTGCAAATCAATAAGAAAAGAATAATTTATTTCAATAAAGTAATAAACGAAAAAGAAATAGGGGAAACAAAATCGCGAGTTGACCATTCAACGAGCTGGGTATTGAACTCGTAAAATGTCGAGTTCAATACGTCCTGGACGGTATTATTCATACCGTTCAAGGAAAAACACAAAAAATGAAGAAACAAATTAGCGAGCATAGTGACAGAATGACTGTCCATCCGAAGATGGAGAGCCATTAGTAGTTCCCCTCTTCTGGGCAAATTTTGCCGGGGCTCTTCAGCATATAGCCTCTTCTTTCTTCGGCAATAGCCTCACAAAAATCACTCGCGAAAATTTTACGTTTGCTCAGACATTTGTAAAAACGTAACACGTAAACGAGCAACGATCTCTTGAATCGCTACTCGCATACCTGCACAATTTTTGCAAATGTCCAAACACAAAACACCTTTTAATTTCATTTCACTTCACTGCACTTTCACTTTAATACTTCATTTTTGTAATCGGGTCTAGTACCACGACTACGACTTACAAACTAATAAGGCTTGGCCTTGAAAAAATCAAGAGAGAATGCTAAATTAATTAATTAATCAACTAATTAATTTGCATTTTCATTTTTCCCCTTGATTTTTTAATTTCCAACCCCAGATACAAGCTTCTCACATATTAGAGGAGAATACGAAGAGAAACATGAAAGCTTGCTCTGGCCCTGCCTACTTATAAACTCAACTCAATCACACCAGAAGTAAGCTACCTGCCTGCCTATCGCTATATTTAAAAAAGGGCAAAAATCATTCTCACAAAAATTCACTCCACGGTTCTCATACAACCACCCGGGTGCAAAAATGCCTACACCTAGGGAGAACGTCCCGGGACGCCTCCGACACCCGAGTTCAATTCAACTTTCACACTCTAATAAAATCATACCTTTTTGCTGAAATCGACTGACAAATAATAGTGAACATTATGCTAAAGTAATACATTTCATTTTCGTATTCTATTGAATTATCTAATGTAAAAATTTTTCAATTTATTCTTGATATGTATTTTGTAATGTTATAGTAAGTTAAGATTGTTAATAAACGATACAAATCCCACATCCTAACCACACACACACACATGTGGAACTTCTATCGTGGTTCACTACTGGTTCACTACTTTTGTCAGTCGCCAAAATGTACACTTAAAACTAAACCTTGTCCACCGCCCTCCACCCACGCGAGTACATCTAAGTACCCGAATGAGCTTTGGGCATAAAAATGAACAAGGCCAAAGGTATTTTCACCTACCAGTTTTCTTCATGTGTGCTGAAATGCCTAAGCTAAAACGTATCATTAGCAAAAACTAAAGATGATATTCTCACTTTATTAAAAGTAAGAATATCGGCGAAATTTCACGGCTCCGATTTAGTATATGGGCTGGCCCCCACAGAGGGTTTTATTTTTAATAAAAGTGACTCGACTTTGCAAATATAAAACTTGAAGAGCAAATACAGAAAAGCAAAATTGAGCAACTATGACATAAAACATGGTGCACTGCTAATATCAGCTGGCAACGAAGGGTCTCACGCCCCCTAGACTTACGCCAGACGCTACATACCACCCACCCCGCCTGGACGTCGTAACGTCAGGACAGAGTGCACCCCTTCGCTAAGAGCGCTACCCGCCCGTCCAACACGTTGCATCCAACGGTGTCAGATTGACGGACGCCCATAGTATAGACAAAAGGACTGCAGTTTAGAATATGGTAACATATTTTCATATGTTCCATATTCTAAAGCTGCGCCTGCAAAGGCCTAGTAATGCATGGGTTTGTCTCCCATGAGATGGTGTTCACGGTCTTATGCCGCGGAATCCTTGTAACTAATTTGATTAAATAAATAAAATATTGGATTGAGTTTAAAAACCAAAAGGATTCCCACCAAATACTAGTCAGTGCATTGTCATATTTACTCTCGCGTTGGAAATTTTTCGCAACACTAATTAAAATAGAAAATCCTGATCGAAAAACATGACTAGTACATAAACATCTAACGGGCTAATATTTCACTATACTGATGAATGATGAGTGTGAATGATGAGTGTTTAGGGTCGAGAACCGTGAACGTGACAGAATGAATTTGAAGTATGAACGAAAAGCTTTCTACAATGCTTGAAGAGCAAATACTGAAAAGCAAAATAGAGCAACTATGACGCAAAAACGGTGCACTTCTAATATCAGCTGGCAACGGAGGTTTTCGGGCCCCCTGGACTTACGCCCGACGCTACATACCACCCACCC